CGCGTGTTATCAAGGATGGCATGTTGACATTTGCTTTCATCATTTTAGTTTATAGGCTAAAAGGACGAAGAAAGTTGGCATAGTTGGAAAGTATGGTGTTCGATACGGTGCTTCTCTCAGGAAGACCATCAAAAAAATCGAAATCAGCCAGCATGCTAAATACAACTGCAATTTTTGTGGGAAGGTAATTTGTGTAAGCTCTTGACTATTTATCCCTTAGGATTCGTTGAAAAGAAAAGCAGCTGGCATATGGGAATGCAAGGCGTGTAAAAAGGTAGTAGCTGGTGGCGCTTATGTTTGCAGGTATGTAATTTCACCTCATTTGACTAGTTCTGTAGTACAACGGCCGCGACAACAATTCGGGCTGCTATCAGGCGCTTGCGTGATGCCCACGAATCATAAACTGTTTTTAAAAAAATATAGTTGGTCTACTACCTGAATATTTTTTTGATTTATAGTCGCTAGTTGAGTGATTTCCGGTTTATTCATGTTTATATTGATGGAAAGTTGATAATTTTGTCAGCCAACGGACGTATCCAATAGTGTTAGTCATTTGATGTTCCTATCATTATAGTAATCGGAGCTGCTTCTTGGAGTCGTGCAGTCTTATCATATATATAGCCTTGAGTGAATGTATGATATATAAATCTCGGTTCAAAATACAAAAATCAGGTACCACTTTACTAAGTTGCTTGCAAGTGAGTTGATTGAAATATAAATTCAGCATGTGCATCTACCCAATCCTTCCTGATCACTGATGGTAAGCTAAACATAATCATTTGGTGTCTCCTAGTACGCGTTGTTATTGCCCATTCAATTTCACCACTATATTTCAACTAATTTGATTGCCAAGTTTGTCTTTCACGAACCCACTTTGTGTTGGCTACTATAGTTATTTAAATAACACTTATACTCTTGTGGCCTACCGGCATTTCGTTACTTGCAAAGTACTATATGTTGCAAGTTTTCCATTAGAATTGTCACTTATGTTTTCAAAGCTGGATGCTCTTGTGTTAAGCTCGTGTTAACCCGCTTTGTGAAGGAAAACGGCAGCTCCTAGTGCTTATCCGAAATAGTTTGATCCAAGTTAACATATGCGGCAGAGAATAGAATTTCACATGCACTTTGCAAGATATGATGATTGAGTCAAACTTTCAGGGTTCTGTACTTGTTTAGCAGAGCATTGGGAGAGGGATTAGGTGTTTTCGTTATCAGTGGACTCATTTCGCACAATCGTTCGACCATTGATATGAGTACCTGGTAGTTGCTTGAAAGGATGGGTAGTTTCTGTCCTTGTACAGTACATGGCAGTGACTGAAGATACTCCTAGGATCACTTGTAGACTACATGTGTAATATCAGGTTGTTCACTATATACGGCTGTACAGTACTACTCGTCCCACCATCGTCCTATTTTAGTTGCATCACAAATGGAAGGGTGAACTGGTCAGACTAATTACTATTAAATTAAAACAAGCTTCTAAGAGCAGACCACTGATAAGTTACACATTGTAAACTATTAGCTCGAACTAACCCCACAAACAGTCCTTTTATGATAGATAGATGGGCCAACTGTATACACTTACTGTGTTTAGAATGATTGGTGTCAGAGAACTTAGCTTAACTTTTATTTTGACGTTTAGTCCCTTATCCAGAAATCCGATTCGCACCGACGGAGGCTTCAGCTCATACCGAATCTAGAAGGCTACATGCTGGCCAAAAAAGTAGATTTAGAGTGCGAGGACATTAAGTGTCATATGACTGGGGGCGGAGATTGAGTCTCCACAGACAGCAGCGTGAACATACAATATAATTCCAGTTATTACCAACTGGAGGGAATTATGCCTGATATCTGGATCTTGCGCATAAGACAACTTGAGTATAGTGGATAATATAATTTCATTGTCCACTGGACAGCCGTAACTTCATGGTACAAACTCTCTCTTATTATTTTTTTATTGCTAGTATAGGGTTTCTATCGTAACCAAGTGACGGCTAGGTTTTTTAAGCTCTGACTGTTGTGATCAGTGGCAACCGTGGTCAGTAAACATCGGTTAGTCACATGGACTTTAAGGGAAACAAAACGGGTCCCAAATGCCAGGTGCCGTGGCTGAGGCCACCAAGATAATAGAAATCGGTGGTTAGGAAATGCCAAGAGATGGCGAGTATACTTCTCATCAATTTTATACATTTGTAAGTCACGTATTTTCAGTATTACATAGATAGGAACTACTTTTAGGAATATATGTGGCTGCTTTAACGCCGACTTATCTGTTTTCCATGTTTTTTTCTCGATATATGCGAGTTAATATTTGCCAAAGGCCAGTAAAAAGATAGTCAACTTAGTTTGCACCCATTTTTAATTTAGGATATTAGCATTATTTTGGTGTAGACATATATTGTCATCACATATTTCAGCCGCACCCATCTAGCTAAGTTGTAGGTAAATGTGATTCCTCTTAGTTCAAGGTGTAGGCATCCACGAATAGGGGGCTATATCGGCATCAAACATGTAAATGTGAAGATCATTAACGACCACATTACTACATTATAGGTAAACATGCGAAATACACAACTCATTTTAAAAGGGAGGTCAGGAAAAAACCCTTAGTGCACTAAGACAAAGAAAATGTTTCATTGACAAAATGATTATTATATTAATACTGTGACGAATTAGTGTGAAATGACCACACAAATTAGTGCATTGTAATTAATCAGTCGACAGCATTTTCTAAGTATGGGTATCTTAAAACTTAACATTGTAAGGAGATACTTCCTTATTCATTAACATCGCAGCTTTTAAAATAAAGTTTAAAAGCTTATAAAAGATATTTTGACTATGAGAGACTTCTAGGTCATTAAATACAACTAAACTGTATTGGAACAAACTCCGCACGTAGCCCTTCCATGGTTACTGCCGGTATCAAGTTGGGATAAAGGAGGGTTGGGAATAAAGTCAGCACCCACATCCCGTATAAGACAACCTTGATTAACAAACGCTAACGAGGGAGCCGACGGATCTTCATTTAGAAGAATTATGACATTTTATGGTGAAAGCTGAGATTCTTCGGAAATCACGAGGCCGATGACCCTTCTAACAACCAGAGCAACAATTAATATAGGTACATGGAATGTCTGAACAATGTGAGAGTTAGAATCTTTAATACGAACTTCTATACAGTCCTATTGTACGGAGCTGAAACTTGGAGAACTACAATCATCATCAATAAAGTAAAAGTATTTATAAACAATTGTCTACGCCAGATCTGTTGGCTAGATACCATCAGCAACAACCTACTGTGGTAGAGAACAAACATGATTACAGTTTAAGAGGAAATTAGGAAGATGCTGAAGGAAACCATCAAACTGCATCATAAGGCAAGCACTAACTTGGAATCTTCAAAGCAAAGGGAAAAGAGAAAGACCAAAGGATAGAAGACAGACATCAAAAAAGTGAATAGCAATTAGGAAGAAGAGAGTTGGTTAGGGAATCCCAGTCGATAGCTTGTGTTCCATTAGAGGTAACAGGCTTAATTAAGGAAGCACTAGAACAAAAATCTTGCAGACGGTAGTTGAAACAAACAGTCGTTTGTATAAATCAAATCCGAGTACACGTTCCTCAATTTCCACCATCCTAAATCTATAGTTCAAAAGTAGATGTGCCTTATTGACTAATATCATGTCATGCCATGTAATATTCATTTCAGTCTTTATGGATCCAACAATGCTCGCTCAGTAGAGGTTTTATTTGTTCACTATGATTAAGTAAGCGAACTGACATGTCCGGCTATTCAATCAGATAGGAATGTGATGGTAAATAGAACAGGTGAAAGCGATATGAAAATTGTTTATAAGAATATAATATATATTTGAACAAAATTTATACAGTCTACATGTTAGATACCAAGATAAGAAATTTTGGGGACATGTGCACTGGAAAAATAACCTGGATAGAAGGTGATGCAGGGATGAAGCGTACATCAACAGATTGAAATATTAGTTGGCACTAACAGTGTAGTTTGATAGAATGACCTACAACATCGTAGAAAAACGAAGTGCTAAGTATATTAGGTACATATGTGAAGTGTTAATCTTTCTGGAAGGATAAGAAGGCAAACCACAAAGAATAGTATTCTAAAGCGTATATTCATTAATATACTGGTCTTTCAGCCAATAACTAAACACGTTTAAAAGAAAGACAATAAAATATTGACTCGAAATTCTGAATAGTGTACGAAATACGAAGTAAAATGATGTAGCATACGGTTAATTAGGCTGGAACTGGTCTCACATGCATTTCACTGTGAATTTGCCTTAATTCACCGGTGCTAATAGGCAATAAATTTTTTGAGAAAACCATGTTTGAATACACAAACAGGCTACACATTGAAAGTGAGAGTTTATTCGTAACTAAATAATTTGCAAAGATAGGGAGAAAACCTGAACAGATAGTTGTAGAAGAAGGATAAGACGAGCTTTACATGTGTTCTAACTGAAAATAATGTGAGGTTAACATAGCTGCATATTTCACAAAGAATAAATACCATCCCGAAATCATATGATAAGATCATGGGTGGTTTGTTAGTGGAATATCCATCTGAACTTGAGGCTTTGCCCATTCCACGAATTCGTCAATCAGTACTGGCCAAGCACCTGTAGGTAAAAGACAGTTTTTGAAGTGGAAAGCAACTGTATAAAACAGGAAATGATTCTTAATAAGTACAATGAATATAGATATAAAACGAATCAAACACCATAAGGATATCATTTAATCAATTAAATACATTTTTACTACACTGTATCATAATATCAATAAGTTTCAAAAATTAGGTAATTTAACACACATATTCAAATATTCTTACTCAAGTCCTGATTCTACTGTTTTGTTCTGCAATCAGTTCTAATCCTGACATTTAATAAATAAGGATTTATCAAAAAATGTATCATTAGAACATCAGAATCTAGGTATGCAGTAGCCCAGATAGTGATAGGCTAGATACATGCACTTAGTCAATTGAGTTAAGGACTCTGCTTGATACAAACCTCAGTATAGGCATTTGTCGAGCATCGACAACAATCATAATAAGTGTAGTTATTAAACCTAGGACATGAGATCGTACTTACTTACGAATATTACTAGGATAGAAGATTGTAAAGTTCCTTGACTGCTGTACTGTGCGCAGTGTGTTTACGTGTTCAATGGAACGAAGATGTATTAATGGTTAATGTACGAAAGCCAGGTCACGATACTCTGTTGATTAGTTCCATCTAACCACCTAATACTAAAGTTTTGATTGTTATTTAGATAGTAAAAGTAGTTTTGGTTTGGTAGGTGGTCTTTTTTATATCCGTATTCAATATAAATCTTAGAAAAAAAGCGTAAATAAATATACTAATCTTTATATACCTTCTTCATCATAATTAGACATGTCAGGATAAATTGTTTCAACAAAGTCTAGAAGAAGATCCCATGTGTCTTTAGAAATTGGACGTTTATGATGTTCCTAGAAATATCAAGACAAAAAACCGATAAGTCAATATAATTGGCTGTTCAATTGTGAGAATGTATACAGTACTCAATGGTAACACAAACTAGAAAAAAGTTCGTGAGTTAAAACCATTTAAAAAATGCATCAGTAAGTGGTTAGACGTAAGAAAGACCTGTTTACAATATGAACCGAAGCACTGATAATGTTTTAGTAAACAGTGTGGATTTACTTGGTAGAGCCAATATTATATTGAAAACTCTTCCAGTTGTCGATAAATGATTAAGTAACTCAGTTATCAACTTTTTAATTTTGTGCTGAAACTCATTTTAATTACTTTGATTTGAGAACCTAGTGTTCATATTAGTCATCATCACATAAAAGGTGTATCTTTTGTGGTCGGTTAACTGAATTGTCTTAGGAAATACTATGAATAATCACACAAATTAGACACTAGGAAAGTGGAAATTTAGCAAGCAAGTTGCGTCAATTCACTAATAGTGCAGATAAAAATTTGAGAATTTAAAGAATTTGCTTTAATTTACCGTCAATTAAATACATCTAATAACTGTTCAATCAATATAAATTGGTCTATGAAACGACTTACTTGAAGGAATTTAAACCATAGAGATAAATGACAAAATCGACCACGTAGAAGAATTTCCCAGTAGGGAATAGCGTACTGAAGAACTATGAATAAATACACGTACAATGAAGTAATACTGGTAAAAAAGTTTAATTCAAAAAAGGAAATAATAGTCAGCTTACTGATTTAGATTAACTCATTCCCTAGGTACAGATTTACATACTTAGCTTTGAGCCATACTGAATGTGATGCTAATTAGTTGTTCAAAAAATGGGTGAAGCGTGGTTCTAATCTAAAACTTTGTGGTTGAAAGTTGATTACCTTAACCATCATTTTACGAACTGTTGATTTAAGCATTAGAGATCTCGACTACTATGGGACAAATTCGGATGTAAGTCTGATTCTTTTACGGTCGGTTAGTAATCTTTAAGTTAGTCATATACAACGAATATCCTAGTGCATATATACGTTAGCCTAACACAGTAAGGTTCAAATCAATAGGACGGAAAGTTAAGAAGTCGGGATGTCAAAGACTGAAAAAAATGCAACGAATATAGTTTGGGAATGACGAGTGAAATTTCAAGTACCAGATAGCTCTATGGATTTATCATGAAAAGCTGAAATAGTTAGGATAAATTACAGATGGAATGTAATTTAAGATATTAGTAAAGAAAAATACCACGTAGCTCACATTATAACATAGAAATAAAAATATTAGCAGGAAATATTGACTAAGGGAGAAGTCCACATCACATATACTAATTTTTACACGGATCGAACAGCTCATCATAAGGACATATAGACGACTCTTAATGAGGATCGAATGTTACCTCAGTTCTGAGGCTCCATGCAACACTGAGGTCAGTGGGACCAGATACCAATGCCCCAAGATTAGTATTCAAATCTTTAATACAATGGGAGATGTTATCAATAAATTTTGAAACGAATACAAAACATTAACGATAACTACCACAAGAAGTCACCTAAATGAATAGAGGACAAAAATCTACTTACCTAATGATTTACTTTCATGTTTATCCAAATTAGCAAAGCCAAATGTGAATAAGTATAAAGAACGAAAATTTTGTTTGTCTTCTATATCACTTAATAGACTGGGAAGTTTATTACGCAGGGAACTGATTGAATCACACCTAAAAGAAAGGAATAAGGAGTATAGTAAGTACATTATTTGTGCATCCCAACAATGAGATCTTAGTTTGAAACAAATGAAGTCTTCTAAGTACATCTGTATGCAGAGTCAAAAACGTTAAGAATTCTAAATTGCTATATTTGTTACACAATTTCTAGTAGACTGTAAAGTTTCAGCTGACTACTTTAGTAGTCGCATAATACGAAGTTACTTATATCCTGTATAGAACATACAAGAACATTCTTTTCTAGGCGGTTATATAATCTTGAAATACCAGGACCAGATGACTGAATGGTTTTTCTGTTTAAGTCAACATTTGTTCAGTTTTCTAGGTCATATCTTCTTGAAAGGTTTCTCAAGAAAAATTATCTGCATCTAAATAATATGGAGGATTATTTGGTAATGTGGTCCTGGAGATCCAAACGAACAGACCGGCACTCTTACCTGAACTGTTTAACACTAAATCTGATTTGAGAAGTAGAGGGAAGTATTATGCCCAAGGAATACTAGATAGTAGAATACAACGTTACCTTTATTATATAACAATATAACCAAAAAGCTAAATAATTTGAAACCGTAATTACACTAATTTAAAATTGATTGTTGGTATACCAGATACACGGTATAGTTTGGCATTTAGCTTTAAGAGGCTTAACTCCTTAAATGCGCATTACAATCACTGGGAAGAGTAGGCACCACTGAAGTATGATCAGGTAATTGACCACAAACTATTTTAAAATATCTCTGGAGCGGTAGATCTGTTACTAGATGAGTGATGTTAATCTCAATCATACATTAGTAAGTAAAAGTTAGTCAGTCAATGTGACCTTCCATTGGTTGAAGTGAATAGAAAGAGAGCCTAGTTATATGAGTTTAAACAATCTACTGAACAGAGTAGGATTAAAACGAAAGGGGTCGCCATCTGACTTGACCAAGAGATATGACGGAATGCTAAAACCACTAAGTTTTCATCTAAGTTATGTAAGTAACTGTGAATTCTTCGGATAGAATTCACAAGGATTTATACGTCACGAATTAAGATCATTGAGAAAGATGAATTGGATACACAGACTAAAAATCTTAAATATCACACTACTTTAAGTCTTCTATTCTCTGTCTATTTTTCTTTTGACTATTAACTACTGGTATCATCTTAACAGTGTTAGCTTTATTTATTATTAGTTGTTTTCATTAAGGAAAGATGAAATGTACTAATTTAAGATGATAGTCGGTTGCATTCAGTCCTATGTTCTGTACAAATGTCAGACTACTGATTGAAGCAACATATGTAAATCATTGGATCCTTGGGGCTAGTGGTATGAAGGTTAAATATTTGCCGCGAGACCTGGAGACTCTAAGTTCGATTCCTGGCGGGGTCATGGATGTGTACGGTTGAGGAGTTCCACACTAAAACAAAATAAATGTCCGGCGCCTCACGGTTTTAATGGTTATTTGACTTACATCTCAATACTGAGAAATAGTTATAGCACCATGTAATGTTACAGAACTAGATTTCGTAAAGATTCCTAGTGATTCCATCTTGATACAATCTATTAAAGTATGTTTAAGCATAGTAGATACCTTTATTTTTAATAGTACTCAACTGAAGAAAACTAGTCTATAACTCGGCTGTGAAGTTTAAAATGTAAGCAGTGATTTCCATTAAATTTGACCAAGACAGCATTTTCACCTGAAGTAATATAAAGATAACTTACCCCAACTCTCTGAACCCACGAAAAAACTCCTCGCGAGTAAATTCTCCTTGGGTCTTTGCTGAAAACTTCCAAGCTAGGATTAAAGTGATTAAACTTTCTGGGTCAATATGAAGATCTGTGACAAGAAATAGCTCCATCCCTGTAGCTAGTATGCGATCAGGACACTGAGGATCTACCCAGAAATATATAGTGGAAGAAATAACAGTAGTTTTTGGTGAAAGAAAAAAATTTATATCATTCAATGAAACATATTTGTGGAGTTATTTATAACTACAGAGACAGAGATATTGTTTCCTTGGATCTAGAATGTCTGAACACGATTCTAATATTTTTAACTGTGAAACAAGTATAGGTCAACGTCGTACGATCTACAAGAAACGGCTGTATTTCTCAGACGAGTTCGATTCGTGTAGAAAATCGATAGACTGTATTTGTGAATGAAACTCAAATCCTCCGAAACGATGATGAGTTAGTTTTATATACAACTGAGAATCAGAAGTCCAACATCAACATACGGTAAAAACTAATTATAAAAACTGGACACTGGAAGCAATATCAAACAGTGAGAAATTAGTGATATCCAAGATGGCGCCGCTACACAGAATAAATCAGCAGTTAAGATATATTAGTCTGTAATGAGGTTTCGGTGAGATTGCAATTTCGAACTAAATTCCATACGGATGATTTTTAGCATCTGGAAAGCATTACTAGTCCTAAGATAAAACATGTGATTCAAAGCCGACTAATGAATGAACCTATGTTGGGTTATTGGTATAGTAATTCATTTAACTGACACCAAAGTAGTGATCTAATTGAGACAAATATTTTTCTTCTCTTAGAAGCACTTTCAACTAAAATGAAGTTGTATTGGAATAATAAATTCAAAGTAAACATGGAAAATTTTTTGAAAATATACCAACAATTGTGTTCTAAAGTTGCGAATCAAACTGATTTGCCAGAGCTTCAGAACTCTAAGCACTTGAAAACTTTCACTTAGACTCATGCTGACATTTATGAATATAGTGGGACTCGGATATTCCGAGATACTAAATAAGTAAAGTGACTTGAGTACAATTGATCAGTCTCTTATTAGCATGTATACATCCTGTGCGAATTGGCTTGATATTGCCTTAAATCAAAAGCATTATAAGAAAAAAAGGATGGTGGCTAGCAGTAGAATCCAGGATGCGCATTTTGTCCTACTTGAGACTTGTTACCTGGACGTATCTGCATCCCAGAGTTGATGTTCACTCCGAGACTCAAGGCAATATCGCGACAATCCGCACGGGATACACATACGCCAATAACGCTTACCACGATAACGCTGGAAGAGATGGTCAATTTTTGCCTCATTAATAGTAGGTCCTTGAGGAGTTGGATTCTGTCTGTAGAAGTAATCTACGGCCTGTTCTAGTCTCCAGTTGCTCATTTGAAGGCAGTCAATAGCAACCTTATCAGAGCTTCGAGTAATAGCACTGAACTTTTTCACGCGATCTCTTTGTGAGGAGCTCAGTTTATACTGAAAACAAGATAGAAAAATGGAATGGACTGCGAAAAATATTATGCTCAAAAGAATAAAATCAAACACAACGTTCTACTACGCAAAATTACTACATTTACTAAGGGGAAGAGCTCTAAAATGGAGTACAATTACTGAACATAATACGAAAAGCAATGACTTTAAGTTGCTTAAGGCAAAATAGTGGTCATGAAGAAAATATACTTCTAATCAGACAATTTGCATTACGACAGTTAAAGAGAGAAATTATATTGTTCATTGGACATGAATGTTAACCACTTGAATGATTATTACAAGACAAAATTTAGTTTTTAAGAACAGTCTACTCCAATTTCTTTCGAAAAAAGCCAAAAGCACTGAACAGTGTTGATCGTAGTGCGTTTCTTTAAGAAACACAAAAAAACACTCTTGTTACTATACCTAAAACAGTTGTGTGACTAGTTCCCATCAGTGAGGACCAATAATGTTCTAGATTAGAAAAAATGAAGAAACAACCTACTTGCTCACAGCTTCAATATTTTGTCAACTGTTATTGTAGCTCTTACCAATTAAACCATGATAAACTTAAAACAATGAAAAACGGGAGGATGTCAAACTCAGAGAGAGTACTGATCGGGTCTACATCCTATATTGGGTGTGTAATTACAGACTTGAAAATATGAATTGTCATACCCAAGGTATTCTTTCCAAACTTACTGAGTCATACGAAGAACTGTTGAGGTAACTTCAACACGTTATGTACACTCGGATTTATTGCATACTGTTTTACTGGATTCGACTTTTATGAGATTAATCTTCTCTGTTTACGGTCTTTGGCTGATTTGAAGTACAACATTCTGTTAAGTGAAAACCTCGATAAGATACAAGGTCTAGAACTGAGTGAAAGTCAGAATGTTTAAAGTATCGGGTCAATTAAACATTGGTCTATTTATGCCTCTCTCTCTCTCTCAACTTACTCTTACATCAACTGATATTGAACGCCAAAGTAGTCAACGGTTAGGCAAACATATATGTCTCACCCATCTCAGTTGATAAGGATTAACAACCTTACCGACTTGCTACATTAACCTAATACTGTGTTTAACCCCGACATTGCTTACTTGGTAGCCCCAACGTGCTCCGAAGACACCTATGACCAAACACTAGCAAATGACGAATGTTTTCTCCCCAAAACCGTTTATTAACTGCAAAGGAAATAATACTGTATTCGTGCCTTTGATAACAGACGGATATGTTGACTGCACCACAAGTAGCCTAAGCCAATCAAGCTTAAATGAATCCTCACTGCGCTTTCTTTAGACGCTAACCATTACGGTTGATGAGGTGCTCAAGACAAGTGAAATATTTGAGGGCATCAACTATTCCACTCAGTATGATTAAGTTAGACTGGTCCTGAAACAAAACCGTACATTCGGAACGGGAAATGTGTTCTAGACCAGTAATTTGAGTTATGCGCTATGCTATCACAGACACCGTCTATCCAGTTGCGGTACTAGAGTAAGGTTGAGGAATGGTAGGAGGATGAGTCAACTAAGTTACAGTCAGTGACTTTGGGATTAAAACAGTACGGATAAAGAATATGTTGCAAGCTGCACTTTCAATTAAACATATCTCTAATACAGCCATTGATGTGTATGTGAATAGAGCGACTTGACACAAAAAGTGAGCTGCCGCATTGAAAAAATAGTGAGTAACGCTCACGGTGTCATTTCCCCTAGTTCCATGGAATGTTCGTATACAGAAACGGACGGCGTTCACTTGCAAGTTTATGCCGCCAAAATATCTCGTGTGAAGGATTAGTGGCTTAAAGCCTATAAGAGATATACGGTAGTCTAAGTTACAGAGGAACTTGTCTTTAAGATCATTGTAAACAACACACATCAAGACGGATGCCCTGGATTCTAATATATTTCATCCAACCGTAACAAATTAATAACTCTAAACACAGAGTAATCCAAGTAACTGGAACATTATATTTTTAGGCAGAGAAGGGTATGTAAAAAGCGGTGTCCCCCAAGGCACGATTTTAGGTCCTCTTCTCTTTTTACTTTATATAAATGAATTACCAGCTATAGCTAAGTCATCCGTCCTACTATTCGCCGATGACATTAAGATTTGGAGACCCATATATAGTATGTCAGACAGAATAGTTTTACAGGAAGATCTTAACTCATTAGTGGAATGGATGAATGGGTGGTCACTAGAAGAAAACCCTAATAAAAGTGTTGTGATGCAATTAAATAACTACGATGATTCGTATCACTACACAATATGTGGACTAGTGTTGCCCAAAGTAAGAAACTATAAAGATTTAGGAGTCATACTAAGTAATGATCTCAAAACAACCAGTCACTGTAAGGCTGCTGCTGCAAAAGGCTATAGAGTATTATGGTCTATTCATAGATCTTTCCGGTATCTGGATGGGGAAATGTTTAGATTATTATACCCAACTTTCGTACGGCCACATTTGGGATTCAAGCAGCGAGTCCTTGTTTCAAATACGAGGCGGATATGTTGGAATGAGTCCAACGCCGCGGGACAAAAATGGTAAAAGGCCTATCTTATGAAGACAGACTGAGACACCTCAACTTATTTCCGTTATCTTACCGGCGAATACGGGGTGATCTAATATTGGCATATCGTATCCTGAACGATGACCTTGGTAATAACATGTCCTATCTTTTCCTCCCGTCTAGGGCTGATCATTAGAGAGGACATTCAAAGAAAGTCCAAAAACCGAGATCAAATCGTCTACGTCTGGAGTTTCGTTTCTCGCACCGAGTAGTGTATTACTGGAATTCTCTACCAGAACACGTAATATCAGAACCTTCTGTTGGTATATTCAAGACGAGATTGGACCTCCACAGTGAAACAAACTGCAAGGATTAAAATAGGTCACTAGACCTCCTATCCTTATTACTGAAGACATAGTAACTATATTGTACCTATATATAGGTACAATATAGAATGCGTTATTACCACCATAGCCAGTAGATAGAATATATTTGCGTGTAACTAGTAAAGATTATGAACGCTGAGTAAGCACAGTTTAATTTTCAGTCATTAATGAACCATAAACATGCGAGGGCTCTGAGAAAGATGGAACAAACCTGGGTAGCCATTGTGGAAGCAAAAGTGAAATTGGCGGCTACAAAGACTGTTAAATATTCCTTAAGTTACTGAATTCCATCATCTCGAATAAACTAAAAGTTGACAGTAAATTCCATGTTCTTCAGATTTTAACCCACAGAAAATATGTTTAAATAACTCTAGACGCTGCACTTTTTCAAATGTCTACAGAAGATAATCAGGTTGATAGTAACCCAGACGTTCGTTCGGTGCGATCCTCTTCTTTCCTGCAGGTTTTGCTTCGCTGTAACATATGTTATTTTGTTCCATTTGTGGTTGTAGAAATTCTGTTGTTTGTTTTAAAGGGAGTTGTACTCCCATATTCTCAAGGTATATTTGCTAGTGAATTGTCACTGTTCGTATTTTTCATATTCTCCGAAATTCTACGCATATACTGTCTCATGATTTCAAATTTGAAGGAGAGCTTAGTTGGCATTGTTATTTCCGTTTTCCAGTTTTTACCAAATGTTGTTTTATGTGTTTGGCTCATATTATGGCAATCATATGTATTTTACATAGATTTAGTCTTAAGCTCTATAATGCTTATTTTGTACTTTTTTGAAGTTGTTTTTGACTTGATGGTTCTCGTAACATTGTCATGTCTGCCTGTATAGTTTATATATTATTCAAAAATATGTTTTGGTAATGAACTCAAATAGATTTAGTGTTCCCAGTGCTTTGAACGAACCAAACTCAAATACGTAGCGTTGTGCGTTCCTAGAGTAAAAGGGAACCTGAAATTTTTGAATCTTTCTGTCTAACATAATCAACATTGCTTTTACCGCTAATGATCTTGTAGGGCCAGTGGGATGCCACTGAGCGCTAGCCAAATCATCCGACAGTTTGGTCAATAATTGTCGAACAGATCATCGATCACTGTCAAAGACAACGACAATTAACTTACATCGGTTAATTGTACGCCATGGACTGACCCATGCGTTGATGGTCACACTTTCACTTGTACCTTTTTTAACCAATATATTTTAGTAGTAACGTCGTTTGTGTTGTACGGTCTTCGAAGCATCCATAGTACCTCGATACGACGAAGGGATAATCCACGTTAGGTGCTGACAGTGAAGTGTGACTTCGACATTAGCTGTTGGTCACGCCATCGCCGTGTGACTCGGGTGAGCCCTCAATCATTCGACAGAGATCATCTACGTTGGTGATCTACAATCTCTTTACTCGACAGAATCATACGACGTTAATAGTAGACTCGTTCATGCATATCACATCAAAGAAAAGTAGGAAAAACTTGACAGGGGTTACAACCACCGAAAGTTGATTGAAGCTAGAGGGATATAAACATAAGACTAGTAGTCAGGCTATCTGATATTTATCAAGCTACTTGTTTCGGATGTTATTCATCTCTACAAAATGCTGACATACCAGAAATATAATTTTTTGATAGTTGCATATACCAGTACTATAATAATTGATCGATCGAATAATTTTTTAATTTTTCATGAATTTATTAATGTTGTTTGTGTTTTTAAAATATTTTGTAAAGCTCCTGTGACATTATGCAATAAAACTCCATAATTATGTACAAAGACGTGACTTCAACTGTCACAGTGCGCGATGCTGCCATGAAGTAAAAAAGAATTAGAATATCCATATTAAATAAGGCCAGTAAATCGAGAATGCAACTTAGTTTTCATAAGTGATTGCATCTATACTGTTCAGATGACTTTTCGTGAAGTAAATCAAATGATATCAAATTGAGATAGCAAACTATAAACAATGCAATGTACGGAACTAAAAATCTGAAATCCATTCATTTCGTTCAACAGACTCTGGATACTTAGCTTTATTTATCAGTTAGTCATAAATTCACGATGTCACAAGTGTTCAGTGTTTGACAACACTGTTATCCGGAACACTTTTATAAACGAGAGTCCAAAAGCCAGTCAAACCAGAATTCAGAGGTAAAAGGGTTGGTAGACATATCTGAAAGGTAGTCTACATATCCATAAGTGACCTATGCTAACTAGTTGCGAAGGATACGTAGCACAGTGTATCCAACGGTGATCTGGTTTGGATGCTCGCCAAAGAGCCTTCAACTAGGGTGTGTCCAGTTAAATTAATGAGGTTAGCATCAATATTAGAGACTTACAGAACTAATTGTTTGGGGGTTTATTAAGATCTACACACGAACTCGATTTTAATCAAATTAAATTTTGTATAGGTCAGTTTCCTTTTAAATTTTATAAGATAGATGTGCAATCAACTCTAGGATCCAAATTGGGTTGATGTTCTTATCTCAGGATAATTCCTCTTAGGTGTCCTTTTTCTATTTTAGGAATAGAAAGAAAAATGGATTTTGATTGAAAGTATGATAAAAAGCAAGTGAATGTATTATATCACTTCCAAAAGGCAGAACTTAATATATTTGCTCAGCATACTTCACTTCGATTGGATAGACAATTTGTCTTTACCACTAAGTTAAATTCTTCAGCTACAGAAACATCGGACTGCCTAGTTGTTTAGCTCATCGAACAAACATCATTGTAAATATCTTTCCAACACTTACACCGAGTGGGATAATATCATTTCTTTTATAAGAAGCTCTAGCAGCTAACGACTTAATTGAAAAATTATAATCCGGTTTTAAAAGTAATATTATTTGATCTCCACAAATAACTAATTCTATAAAAGCAAAGAGTTGATATAATATTATTGTTTTTATACAGTAAGACGAAAGAAATTATTTGATTTTTGTGATTTTTTCTTTAATAAGAGGATAAAAAGTTCAGCTAGCAACGTTGCATAAATCAACTAAGAAATAACCAACATCTCATTCTTTCAGCAAATATGGGCCACGTCTGATATTGTGTATAAAGTTCTGGTTAAACTAGATATGATATGTAAAGTATAAAACTTCCAAGGCTCCTGAAGACTAAATGATTATGCCATATAACTAAAAGCCCTCTAGTGATGATTATTTCATAATCAACCATCATTTTTAACTCAATGCCCCAAGTCACTACTGGGCTTTTGTTATATAACTTTTGTCAGTTGGATAGGGATGACAATCACCCTTACCACTATATGTAACTTTACTCAAACTGAGATTAATTTTAAAGCGCTACCACTTAGCAAGTTCGCCAAAGACGTTTGAGATAAGTCGCAGTTTAAATATATCTGCATTGCAACGTTTTATGTTCCGTACTTGAGTAACCAACAAATAAGAGTGAGTGCAACTGACACACTTGTCTTAATGCACCAAAGCAGTTTAAAAAGAGGAAAGTTATGGATCATGACCATAAAATTCAGAAATTTAGGATTGGAACTCGTATACGGCTCAGAATGTTATCGCTTTCTATCTCCAACGCGAGGGAAGTTTTCCATCCTTCCTGATGGACTGCCATCAATACAAAGTTATGTCGTTTAAGCAAATTCACTAAATTTTATTCCAGACATTTTCAAATTTTCATTGTCTGCAGATGAAAAAAGGTATATTTCTTGTTTTCATGGTTCAAATAACAACTTTCCAGATAAATATAAATGAGAACATAGCTTAAGGAGCCTTAGTACTGGTGACAGGTAATCATCTAACCATCAATTTGATTTTCTTGTTCTTCACTTAGCTGGAGTCAGAAAGATGTAATTAGCTGATGTTTACATGTTTCGTTGTTTCTATTTCTACATTTGCGAACTCGTTTTTGCCTGTAGTATTAGCTCGGCTAATTTACATAATAGAATAACCTTTGAGTTTGGCTAAACTTACCTAGGTATTTTAGTCAACAGTTAATTTTGGAAAGTAAATAGTACTAAATGAACCAAAAGATTTGGAACTTAACTCTGCACTTCATGAATTAAGGTAGCTTTTGAATGACTTCAAAAATACTTGAATATTGTACATTGATTATCCAGGTTAAAATTCTCACGGTTTATTTATTGGAGTGACTTCATGTGTAAATAAAGGGAATACAAAGAGTGAATTTATCCTTAAACTTCTACTTTATTATCAGAATATTGACACTTTCGAAACATTTTCATCTTTACAAAGGAGGAACAACAGGCATTATGGAATAAAGTGAAGTTATTTCGTTTAGTGTGTTTCAAATCACTATACATGCTTAATAATTGGTACAAATAAATAGATAACTAAAATGTTTTACGAACGTACTTTAGTATGTAAGTACCATGGAGTCATTTAATTCACTAATGAAGAGCAAGTATAATAAGTTTCAATATTCATACGAGTTAGATTTGCAGACAAGCAGAATGGGTGAGAGAGGCCATGGTATTAAAAAGTACGAGAAACATGCGCAAACTGTTGTGATTGAAGTAGAGAAATGATAAGAAATAACAAGATTGCTAGTAATTACTAAAAATAACAGCAAAGTAATGATAATACTAACAGCTGAAGATTGATAGATAAAATCTGATTAGGTGAATGGCTGAATTGTAATAATGTTAAAAAACATGCAACTAATTATAATGGCTATAAAGTAGAAATGAAAACTTGACTTAAATGAATGAGGAAGCTTTTGTTTGTGGTCAAATAAAAAGTGATAGAAGCTACGAACTTATAGGTAATGACATGAGTTTACAGAAATATTAGTTTTCAATGATTTAATCTTACTATTGACTCAACTGTATGTCAAACAGTGTTGAGTAAAGAAAACAGATAGGAGATGAGGCAATTATATTTTACTTTGCAAATGAATTCAAGAGCGGAAGTGAAATAATTAGTTGTCAGATATACAGACAAATGTACCTTCCACAATATCGCTGTTGGAAAAGTTAGCCGTATACTAGATAAAATATATGCCATGCGTTAAAAGTACCGAGCTTCCAATCCGTCATTGGTTTTTCAACTTAGATCGGTTCGTGAACTTAATAATATCCAACAATCTCCATATCCTTCATGCTGATAAAGTAGTTTTTTATGATATAATTAATGCCCCTATAATTTCATGTCAAAAGGCATAACCAGATCATCCGAAGTAATTTCTTGATTATCCAGAGGATAATTTTTAAAGATGAAAGTTGTTTAAGTAACGTGAATGAAAGTTGACTTATCAGTTTTATCCGTTTAAATAAAGAAGTATAGTTTTTTAATGCATGGTAGAGGGTAGTTTATTAAATTTTTCAGTGTTTCAATGAATATCTGTCATTTTAAGGGAACAGAACAGGATATTACGTAAATATAAAGTGTCTTAACCTAATATATCAATACTTGTCGTGCAATAATTTTAAATAGGACATAAATGATCACATCGGTTTTTGATATACTTTAGGTAAATAAGTACAAATGACTTATTGCGAAATTCGAGCATATATACTTTATACAAATGAATAAATTCTCATCCCCACTGAACGTTGAATAGCTTATTTATAACAAAAATGGGCTCAAAGAACGTTAGGTAAACAAACAGTATATTTTAGTAATAACAACTGGTACACAAAACTCAGAATATACGGGTATAAAAAGATACGAAGATGAATTTTAAGTTTACTAAAATACCAAACAAATCCAATAAAGATTTGTAGTTGATCAATAAAAAAGGTAGTAATTACCGTCAACGTGAAAAATTTCGACCATGAAATATAGTTATGTCCTAAAAAGTAACCGTAAAGTTGAAAAATAATCTTTTGTAACTGTATAGCAATTAGAAATCAAATTTGTATTGTACTATTTTATCTATTATCATCCGCGAATAGTTCATATTACGTGGAAGGATCATTTCCTAAAGCATTCATAACCAGAAAGGGTAGTGTAACCGTTTCTTTTTGCTGCGATAATTATCATCCGTTCACGCCAAAAATATAACACAAGGGGAAATCCAGAACTTTTAGATACTATACAAAGCATCATACCATTCATTCCCCGTTATCGAATTCAGTTAGATTTCTAGTCCAATGTATTCGTTTGACAACTGTCCGATCTCTGTCAGAGCTGAATATAAAGTTTATAAATTCCATTCAGAAATTAAAGGAAGCTGTTTATAGCTAGTAACCAATGAAGAAAATTATTTCCAAACTAAGCACATTTCAATATAACATTTAAGTAATCTACTATCGTTAATCATGTCCTAATTTATTTCAACCGAAATTTGCCAACTTATCACCAAAAAATCATCTATCCGAAATACGGTTAAATTTTATTTAGAATAGTGATAGACATGGTGATTAATTACTTTTACTGTATAAAGAAAACAACCTGTTTCAAAAAATTAACCTATATACTTATACTACTTTTTTACAAATAAGTAGATAGTTACAAACATTTAAAATTTACTGTTCATGTATAAACATATACGTGATAGTCATAGAACAATTAATGAAGAAAAAGAACAATTACGTAACAGTGAAAATTTCTCAAATGAGCTTAAAATGTTTAAAACTTTATATAACTAAAGGAATAAATTTTAGTACAAAGAAAAGGTACTATAAATCCATTTACTATTAGATTTTTCATATTCACCCAGTCATATTCAATTTAGTGTATATAAGAGAAAAAGAAAAGAAGGTTAATATTACGTAACCAGATATAAATTTCCTGTTTAAAAAAATTTAAAAGAACTTTTGTGTGTGTATGTGTGTGTTTGGTAATGGAAAATAACCCCACTAAGTTAAAACAAATGGAATTTTTTTAATATTTACGTTTCTTTTTATTCAAGAGTAAATACTGGACAATTGTTATTAGTAATATTTGGTTTATCTAATAAATTTTCTCCATTTTTCTGTAAATTTGATTGAGATACATCAGATTTTAAATCTTTTGAACTATCATATTCAATAGATCTCGGATCATTGATCTGTGTATTGCCTGGTATTTTTAAATAATCTTGAAATTGTTGAAATACATTTGTTGATTTTATTGGTAAACTATATTTACGTGTTAAATTTACTGTAGGTGACCATTTTTGTTGTGACAATGATGGCTGTACTTGATGTTGTTGTTGTTGTGGTGGTGGTGGTTGTGATTGTTGTGTCATCATTGAATTTGATTGATTAAATAAATTATTTTGTAAAAAGTAATTTTCATTTTCTAATTTATTTATTCGATATGTAAGATAACTTAAATGTTCAATTAATTCATGATTAGTTTTATTATGTTTGTAACTATGTATAGCATTAAACATTGAATTATCTTCTTTTGAATGATTAGAAATATGCCCTGTTTTAAATATACTTGGTGGTTTATAATGATGTGAACAAGTTTTATAAGGCCATGGAGGTCGTCTAGCTGTCCAATTAGGTGTTTTATGTTTCGGTATTTTTAAATGAGTACAATATTTTCCATGTGTTGGCTCTGATTTAAGCATAGAAGATGAATAAGTGGGGGTTTTATTGATGACTGGTGATGATGAAGTTTGTGAAGTATGCTCGTAAACAGCTTGATATTCTTGTTCATCTTCGGAAATTGTTGCTTCTGAAATTGATGGTGTAGAAGCTTTTTCAAAACAAATAATTGGTATCACTCTTTTTCCATTTACTGTACCATCATGATTTGAAGTGTCCATGTTTGAAGTTATTGTTTGCTTTCCTTTCATGAAACAGTCAGAATGGCAATTTTTACGAAACAACTTTTCATTTTCCACTTCTTTCCATTGATTTGAATGAAAATCAGTAATCATGACGCCACTATGTAATGCTATAGGTGTAGATTTTACGTTAGACTCTTTTAATTGACTACTATTTGGATGATAAAAAGAGTCATCAGTAGAAAACAGATTTGTTGGCATTGATAGATGACGCTGTTTTCCAAACGGGATTGAGTCATTTTGATATGGTTTTAACCTCGAGCATTTATTTGGTTCCGCTACTAAACAATTACAAACTTGTTCATTTTCATTAGAACACATTGCTGTAAAATTTCCTAGGCTATCATTTACTGTTGTCGGCACCGATCTTGATCGATTCTCATAAACAGACTGACTTTGACCCGCCACGTTGAAGATTGTAGGATTAGGCTGTATAAATGGTCCATAGTTTGAAGTTATATGGGTTTTATCAGGATTGTTTATCACCACGATGGCCGATGGAGTAGGGGATCTTTGCGGTGTAGGCAGAAAGGCTGAGCAACGACTTGGGTCACTGCCATAACCATCCGACCCATCGCTGTTGGAAACACGTACTAAACGCTCATGATTTGAATTCATGTCTAATTGAGAATGACTGTTCTGATTAATTGTTGGATTATTATTACGAAGGTGCGTGCTGTCAAGAGCAGGTGCAGAATACCCAATGTAGTTCATTAGATCTGTTGAGTTCATAACTTTCCTCTCGAATGGAATAGATTTATTCGGAAAATCTGAAGGAAGAGACAAAACAAATTATTATTTTAGTATTTAAGCAAATAAATGAAAGCATTTTTAATGTATATCGACTATTTACAAACATTAAATAGTTGGTAATTTTATTTGCAAGAAATTTGTGCTACAAGTAGTTAGATATTTTCTTAAATAAACTATCGTGTGAATATCTCTAAATTAAGTCCCAGAATACCTAAAACTACAGTAAAAAAACTTACTTACTTACTTACTTACGCCTGTTACTCCTAACGGAGCATAGGCCGCCGACCAGCATTCTCCAACCCACTCTGTCCTGAGCCTTCTTTTCTAGTTCTATCCAACTTTTGTTCATTCTTCTCATGTCTGTCTCTATTTCTCGGCGTAATATTCTCCTTGATCTTCCTCGTCTCCTTTGACCTTCAGGATTCCATGTGAGGGCTCGTCTTGTGACGTAATTGGGTCATTTCTTCAAAGTGTGCCCAATCCACTTCCAACGCTTCCTCCTGATTTCTTCCTCCGCTGGAATCTGGTTTGTTGTTTCCCACAGTAGAATGTTGCTGATAGTGTCAGGCCATCGGATCCGAAGAATCTTGCGTAGACAACTGTTAATAAACACTTGTATCTTCTGGATGATGGCTTTCGTAGTTCTCCACGTCTCCGCCCCATACAGTAGAACTGTCTTGACATTTGCATTGAAAATTCTAACCTTGGTGTTGGTTGACAATTGTTTTGAGTTACAGATGTTTTTCAGTTGTAAATATGTTGCTTTTGCTTTGCCGATCCGCGCCCTCACATCTGCATCTGATCCACCGTGTTCATTAATGATGCTGCCCAGATATGTAAAGGTTTCCACGTCCTCCAAGGCTTATCCGTCAAGTGTAGTTTGATTGGTGCATGTTGTATTGTATCAGAGAGTCTTACTTTTCCCTTTGTTTATATTGAGACCTACTGTTACTGAGGCTGCTGCTATACTGGTCGTTTTCTCCTGCATTTGTTGTTGCGTTTGTGATAGAAGAGAACACATCGACATGATATTATCTTAGACTACTTGGCTATCTACTTGATTAGAAAACATAACATTTATAATGATGGACTGATTCTCAATTCACTATTTTAACGACCATTATTATTAAAAACTTGAATTTAAGTATTTTTCTAGTACTTGTCTTAAGAATCACTAAGAAACTAGTGTTTTTTTATCAAGCTTTCAATTAGTACTCACTTTAAACCCAAGACAAGATTCAATTCAAGATCTTTAGTTATCACAGAGAGGCTATAATCTTCGATAATTCTTTACTGCAGTCAGTTTACGAGTTCTAAGAATTAATGCTGTGGAAGAGAGCGTGTGAATGTATTTCAATTCTCAAACAAAATTGAAATAACTGGTTACTGCTTTCAAATCTTAAATATGATTTTCTAGTGATCTCCAAAAGGATCGTATTTTATTCTATTGATCTCTAGTGAACAAATCAAGTGAGCTAATAAATAGCAGTTATAAATGGGAATTATAAGGATCTAACGTTCCAGAATAAGTTAATTAATTTTCTCAAATAAGTCATTATCAGGACAAGTAGAAAAAATAAGCAGCTCTTTCATAGATTACACTGCATAATTATTTTAGTTAGATAACCATTGGAAACCAGAAAGCACTAGGAACCTTTTTCGTTTAAGTATGAAACTCCTCCCCACCAGCAGTCATACTCAAGGCCCCTGATCCCATAGGCAATGCATAACATTTAAACCCCTGAGTTGGATACATAAAATACTAAAAACATTCTAATCAATATATCGGGTGTGATGCAGTTACTCACAGAGGACAATGGAAGATTGTCCCGTAATATCGTAGATTGATTAAAGTTAGACATTAACGCCGTTGGATATTGGTTAAGTGGTTTACAGACTGAACGCAAGATTGAGGACCCTGGGTTCGAGTCTCACTTACAGGATCTTAGATGCTCATTGTTGAGGATTCCCAAACTAGGAAAAAAACAGTCGTTCAGTGCTCCCTGGTTTTCAGTAGTGGTCCAACGTTAGCTGGTTCATGATCTCAACGCAATCATTCTGTCCTTGTTTACTTTTCGAGTGTTCTAACGTGAGTGTAAATAATAATATTGTAAACAGACACAGACGAACAGATACATTACCATCTTAACAAATAATATCAATTACTAGCACAATGTTCAAATAATAAAAATCCAATATCATTACTTAGTGTTTTTACTTTAGTAATTCGTCATTAATATGTAGAAAGATGTTAACTGAAACATTAAAAGCTTGATTACATACAATGTGCATTAGTGACATCCAAGGAAGTTATTCTACTCTTTCTACATTAAATTTACGCTCATAGATCGATTGTACTGATGAATAGTGAATAAGGGGTAAGTTGTACATTCGATCGTCCCCTGTCGTGTTCTCGTTCACTTCAATATTATTGATTTCAGAGAGTTTATTATTTTACTATAGACGACTTTCTTGAATATCTGGGCTACCTGTTACTGTTATCTAGATATTTCAACAAGTTATCTAATTTTGTTTTTTTCAATAGATCATTATGTTGAATAATTTCATAGCCTACCCAGTTAGGAGAGAGCATCATCAGAGACACTGTGACTGCTGTCAATATACATTGAAAAGAATGTACATTATTTAGATGTCGATTTATTGGACTGCTAACATCTTATTGGTGATCACTGAATATTTACCGACAGGATCAATCAAGAAATAAGGAACAGAAACTTGATGAAATACTTGGAGCTGAGTATTCTATATTGCATGAAGAATATAATACTGAATAAAGTGAATAATAATAAATAATCAGTGTCCGCATGAAAAATTTCATCTGACATGATTATGATTACTTCAACACTTAACAATAAAATGGGATATGTATCTTTTAGGCTATACCACCGGTTGTATAAGGATAGTAATGAAAGAGATGTAGAAAGATTTAAATTGAACAGTGAAAACCATGGCTTACTACATACATATCTGAAAGATCTTAAGAAAAATATAACGTAGAAGACAAAAACGTAATTACATTAACAGAATAATCATACCTTTTATATTTTGTTGTGGAACATTCTGATATTGATTTATTTTTCTATAAGCATCAGCTTCAAGTTTACTTCTTGCATTTGGATACTCTTTAAGTACTTTCCAAAGATCAGATTTAGACAAGCAGAACAAATCAGAATATCCTAGGGAACGTACTGATGCTGTACGTCTATTACCATTATTGCCCAGATTTAGAATAGATAATTCACCAAAATAACTTCCAGCGTGTAGTGTAGCTAAAACTGTATGTCCATCATCTCCTAAAACGTGTAATTTTCCACGATTCACAATATACATTTGCTTACCAATTTCACCTATAAAATATGAAGTTTATTTAAAAAATTATTTTGATTAATATATGGAAGTAAATAATCAACGGTAATCTGTAAGTTATCACGTCTTAAATCATATTCGTTACTTTCATTTAGCTGTTATAGTAGATCAGTAAACTGAGATGAAACAAACATATATGTGGAGGTTTGAACTATATTTCATTTAGAGTATAACTAATGACATTAGTTTACAGTTCCCCATAGACACTGTGATGGATAGTACTGTGTCTAATTACTTTTTTGGCAGATCCACTTTAATCATGAAAGTTTTCAAAAACTATTTTACTTTAAAACAACACTAATTTTCAGTACTACTTAGTTGGAAAGTAATTGAAGAGTGTAGTGTACTAAACACTTTTCTCAATTCCCTCACTAACTATGTCGACTGCAGCCAGAAATATCCTTTTGTCTTACTCTCCGAAAATTATTACATCTTTTGTGAACTAAAACAATCAATTTTACATGATTTCCTTAACATTACATAAGACAGTTAAAATTATGCGCCTTCCAGCGACTTGACATTAAATGGATTTATTGAAGTCCTAGTAGATAGTATTGACCAATATAGTTGGCCGATGTACAAGTAGGGCAACGGCAGACTGACAAAACGGAAAAGTGGTTCCCACATAAATATCTAAACATCATCATACCAGAAGCTTAAAAGCTCTTTGTAAGATGATATATGAAGATGAAAGAGCGTACCACGAAAAGATAGTTTCCTAATTTTCCTTATTTATATTTATGATAACCAAAGGTAATTTGAGAATTCTAAGTACCCCACCTATGCAAACGAATGAAAAGAATATCAAAATCTGGTTTTCAAATGACAGAATAATTGACTTGTCTTTTGTGATGTACAATAGAATAAAAATATATTATCACTGAGTAATTATTCATGTTTCATTTGATCAACCATTCTAATGATTACAAACAGACTACTCGATTAGCACTATATTCAACCGATATCGATCTGTGTAACATTTTATGAAAAAGACGAAAAGGGAATGGATTTTTCTGACGATGTAAAATTTGACTTTTTTTGAAAAAACACAAGCCATGATAAGCAAAGATCGATAGTGGCTAGCAGTGGAATCCAGGATGCACGTTTCGTCCTATTTGCTCATAATGCTTGTGAATTAAGGCTACATCGAGGCAAGGCGCACAGTATGCACATATGCCAATAAGAGACTGACCGACTACAGTCCTAAACATCAATGAGAAGATTCAAACAAACAATACAAGTGAATATAAACCATTATGCATTTTAAGGTACTAAATAGTTATGAAAAGTTGTTAGAAACTGAATAGACATAGTTTGATCAAGGTTCCTGATTAGCTTGTGATGTAATAAAAAGGAATTTGGTTAGTTGGAATGGGAGTGACATACAGAAAGGATTTTCGACAATCGTCTACAACATTCATCAAAAATTTTATATCTGTAAATTAGGTATAATCAGAAAGGAGTTTTGTGGATATCATCGTAATTTAATAGTTGGATTCATGATTTAATTGAAGCTAGACCACCATGAAACACCTGGAAGCACTGAACGGCCGTTTCATCCCAGTATGGAACTCCTCAGTAGTGCTCACCTACAATCCCGCCAGCGGGATTCAAACCCAAGACCTTCAATCTCGCGCGCGAACACTTAACCTCTGGACCACTGAGCCATCATCCAACATTGTTACTGTCTAACTTCAACCAATCCGCGAAATTGCGTCACCGTTCACCATTGTCTTCAGTGAGTTATATCCATTGGTTACAGGGGTTTCATTTTATGATGTCGTAAATATGTGTTCATACATCAAGTTTTTAATTCAATAAAGTCAAATACTTTCTGTTTTAGTTTATACAAATCTGACTGTGAACAAATCACTTAAAAATTAGTACACTTAGTTGTTTCTTTGTTTTAATTTCCATCTATTGATCATCTTTGCATTCTAACTTGTATAGTGCAAACTATGGTTACCTGCACTAGGCGCAAGTTTTCTTTTTTACAGATGTAACAGCTCGGAATAATGTTCTGTCTAATAAAAAGTTAATATACAATAGGAAATATATATAAGGTCATCAATAGTAAATGATTGACTAATAGTATTCAGTTTTTTTTATCAAGTGATTACCATTTTATAGAAATTAGTCACAAAATTTCCTTATGAAATCTAGAAGCAATAGTATGATTAAGTTTATTAGTGAGAAAATCATTTCCATTCATTTGGACAATGATCACCTTTTTTGTAATACCGTTTGAGTACATTATTAAAAAAGAAACATCTTTGGGAGTATGTGAATGATAACATATTAAAACACCCTTCAGTCGATGTATATTTATTAGAAAGTGTAGTGTATCATTCTTCTACTGTATTGGGCGGAGACGTGGAGAACTACGAAAGCCATCATCCAGAAGATACAAGTGTTTATTAACAGTTGTCTACGCAAGATACTTCGGATCCGATGGCCTGACACTATCAGCAACATTCTACTGTGGGAAACAACAAACCAGATTCCAGCGGAGGAAGAAATCAGGAGGAAGCGTTGGAAGTGGATTGGGCACACTTTGAAGAAATGACCCAATTACGTCACAAGACGAGCCCTCACATGGAATCCTGAAGGTCAAAGGAGACGAGGAAGATCAAGGAGAATATTACGCCGAGAAATAGAGACAGACATGAGAAGAATGAACAAAAGTTGGATAGAACTAGAAAAGAAGGCTCAGGACAGAGTGGGTTGGAGAATGCTGGTCGGCGGCATATGCTCCATTGGGAGTTACAGGCGTAATTGAAAAAAGTAAGTAAAGTAAGTGTATCATTCAGTGTATATGCTTTATCTAGTTAAATTTTCATGAATAAAACATATAATGAATTGCTTACCCTTACGACATACATAATCACCTGGTGCAAACAATACAACACGTAGTTTTAATACAAGTTCAGATAAAAATCCTTCTTCAGTATCTTGAAATATTTCCACTTGTTTTAATGTATTCAAATGTACATGAATAGCTATTTCAGCTTTTAATTTATATGGCAGATTTCGTAGAACCTTTTCTTCGTCTGTTATTTTATTTGTATACCAGAGAAAATCAAACCAATTTATTACACGTTCTTGTAATGATGCTGGTACTCTTCTTAATGACATATAGTTTTTCACACTATCAAGCCGTGCTGAAATATAAATATAAGTATTAGGATTGAAAGTTACAATTGAGCTTTCGTCTGGAAAAATTTATGACCGAAAATTAGATTGAAATGACCAAACTACTTGTTAGTAGGTAAATTGTAAGTGAAAAATAAGTTACTATTAATAAAGCAGACGTGAAGTCCTTTGATATATTTCTATGCACGAATATTTAATTTATACTTGTTTCGATCTAACGCTATACAGCTCAGTTGATGGGTGAAATGCATGTTCAGCCTATTAGGAGTCAACGGTTTTGAGTATTTGTGATTCGCATAAGTTTCTAAGAGAGGAGCTCCTTATAATTTTATGTAGAATGGATTAAAATTCAATTACTTTTTGGTTATTGTTATCATTGAGTATTTATCTCTGATTTAACCTTAAACTATCCTAAAGAATAGCTTGAATTTCCAAGCTACAACAAAAAATGTTCGGCAGGGAGAGCACTAAGTCAAAACATGTGTTCCTATGATGGAAGTCCTATTACGATATACGTCTTGGTCATATTCGGTTATTTATTTGAATGAGGTTAACTACTTTGAACATGACAAACAACGTAGTCTTATGTTGCGTATTTAAATGATGAGAAAAGTGTTAAATATATTACGGACGTAATGGCAGCCTAGGATATATGAATCGTATATTTCAGACATACTGGGTTTATATACAAACCAAACAGATCACATCGTACCATAAAATGAAAAATAACATTTGTGCAAGCTTCAGTCAAATGTGTTTGTGAATGTGGGAGATAGCAATTGCTAGACTGGACCGGAGGATCCACCTAAGGGAGTTGAAAAATCCTGATTCAAAATCAATGGTACATATGGGCTCCAGAATCCTGAGAGAACAAAAGACGTATTAATCTATGTTTGGTCATCGGCTACGATGGAACTGCATCTTCTAATGTTGCTCCACTGCCTTGTGGATCAGACCTTTAGGTTGAAGGATCGGGGAGTGGCCTCCCTAAGAAAACCCCCTGTTTCGGTTTGGGCACCCGATTAGTATCCCAGTCCCCACAGAAATCATTCGATTTGTGTGGTGCCTCCTTACATCAATGCTTCTGTGCTTGAATAAAATAAGTAACATTTGAAAGAAAATAAAATGATATGAGAATCAATGACTTGATGGATTATATCACGATTTGAAGAGTAATCATTTAACTTAGTCAATTAGTTATATTTGTTGATTATAAATGATTATTCGTATAGTATTGTAAATACCTTCACACAGTAAGTTATTGAACTAATCAGTGTTATATAATAATCAGTTCAAATTATACAAATTTGATTAGAAATAAACCATATAAAATTTGGTGTATTCATACATCATTTTGATTTATTACTGAGGTCAAATAAATTGATATTAACAATCTTTTTGTTTTCTTTAAGCGTCGTTGGATTCGAGTTTTTTATTACCAAACGTAGTCGATTCGGTATTCAACAGTGACAATTATAAGATAAACTTTCTGGCAGAAGTTTGAAATAAATTCATTTATTGATTGAAGATATTTGACAATCTATATACAGTTCTTGACCTCAATACTTTAATCTTATCGTCATTCTTCAGATATATGAACATCAATCATTCAGTATAAAACAGAATTATTACTATCAACGTTTATCATACATGTTTAACTATATTTTTTTAGCAAAAAAAGTTCTAAATCGAAGACCATCTTTTGGTTGCATTTAAACACTGAAGGTCATATATGCTGTAACCTCAGTAGTTAGGTCATAATTTAAATGATCAGAGTTCAAAAATGATGTAAAAATTGATTAAAAAAAAGTTTGTTTCTGGTAATTATTTTCAGTATATCAAAATCTAAAGTTAAATCAATCGGGACAAACAGGAAATGTTAGATATGTACAGTCAATCACTTAATGTTTCACAAAACGCAAACCAAACAACAGAGATAGTTTATATCAATGTGATTATAATGGATTTAAATTACTCCTCTATTGATATTCAAGACTAAATCTCGATTAGTCTTAGTGAGTATCTTGAGCAAATTACATCAATATAGCCATTATATTACAAGTTATTTACAATAAATAGATTAAGGTTAACACTGGAATCCAGATTATGTATTTCATCCTATTTGGAGTACATCAGCTAAATATATTTGGTTACTACGTGTAAGATAAATGTTTATGCTTTATTTTACTATTTATTAAATAGGACGAAACGGCCATCCAGTGCTTCCGTGTTTTTCATGGTGGTCTACCTTCAATTGATTCATGATCTCAACTATATAAATTTAAAAAATTTATACAATTAATATTTTAACCAATCAAAGATAATCAAAACAATATGAAATCTAATACAGCTTACTATAAATTATCGTTCTTCTCTAATAATTACTCAAGGGTAGTTAGAATTCATTGAAGTGTTATTCAGAAGGTTGACTAAATAGCTCATCATGCATAAAATGAAATTAACTATTAGTTTGTTTCCAGGAGATAAAGAGATTTCTTCTATCAAATGATTTTAAGTAGTTATATCTTATATATTTCTTTATATAAATGTATAGCTTAAAACTGATTGTCTTAGAGACTTACTTTTTGTTGTTGTTGTTGTTGTTGTAGAAATCACTTTATGATTTTCTATTTTAATTCTAATTCATACTAAAATAGTTTCAATCTATCCATTGTATTGTTCTAAGAGAAGATATATGTTATATCGATTAAGTATGTGCCATGTTTGATATATGAACGTGATAAGACCGCCTATCAGAGAGCAGTGAATTTATTGATCGCCCAAGAATGCCCAAAGTCGTATGAGCAGTTACCATTCGTAATCATCTAACTTAGTCAATTAGTTATATTTGTTGATTATAAATGATTATTCGTATAGTATTGTAAATACCTTCACACAGTAAGTTATTGAACTAATCAGTGTTATATAATAATCAGTTCAAATTATACAAATTTGATTAGAAATAAACCATATAAAATTTGGTGTATTCATACATCATTTTGATTTATTTCTGAGGTCGAATCAAATCAAATTAACAGTCTTTGTATCTTCCTTAAGCATCGTTGGATTCGGGGTACATATGTACGTATACATACAATATGATCATTTATAAACAAATATTCCATACGATTTCAGAGGCCTACTTGAATATCTAGGCTACCTATTCCAGTCATCTAAATATTTCAAAAAGTTATGTATTTGTGTTTGTTTTAATACATCATTATATCTATTAATCGTATAATCTATTCAGGTGAGTTTCTGAAATGTATATAACCTTTCGTTGTACAAGTTAGAAAAGGCCTAATCAAAGATATTTTAATTGCTGACAATATGTAGTGAAAAGAATGTACATTATTTAGATGTCGACTTCTGAAATGTTAATATCTAACTGGCGGTCACTCAATATTTATCACAAGAATAGATCAAGAAATAAGAAATGGAAGCTCACTGAAATACTTTGTGCTGAGAGTTCTATATTGTACCAAAAATATAATATTGAATAAAGCCACTAATAATAAGTATTCAAAAGAAAACATTAATGTCCGTTATGATTGTTGTTTAAATGTACACACGTACATTGGCTAAAAATGTCCATCTTAAAATGTTATTATTAATAACATAGTCCTGAACATGTTTTTAAAGTAAACTAAAGTGATATTTAAGGAAACAAAAGGTATCTGTCTTATTAAAATCTTACTATAGTCGTTCTTGTATAATCCCCCCCCAAAAAGAAAGAAGTATGATAACTCTTACAGGAATTGATATTTTATAAGCGCAGTCAAAAAAAGAACAACAAACATGAGGCATTTCCTGGAGTTCTAGTGAGAAGCAATGATCAGTGGAGTTCAAACCACGTCTGTTGTGAGATAGTAACTCCCTGCCTAGTGGTTCTAGAGGTTAAGCGCTCGTGCGCAAGACTGATAGGTCCTGGGTTTGAATTTCGTGAGGCGTGATAGTGGATGCTCAGTGCTGAAGAGCCCCATAATAAGATGAAACGACCATTCAGTGCTTCAAGGTTTTCCATGTTGGTTTAGCTTCAATGGACTCATGATTTCAACTATATAAAATAATCGATAATTAGTGTCATAAATTTATTTTAAATTATTCAATGACCTACTTTTTTCTACTTTTTTCTAAACTTGGTGATTTATTTTCATTGTGAATTTATTTAAACAAAAGTAATCAATTTTTTAACTGTTATATAAAAAAAAAAACTGTTATATCCCTTGGAGATTTATGAATGGTCACTTTGAGAACTATTTATGGACCAATATGATATGTACATTTTCTAATATATAATTGTTAAGTAACTAAAGTATCCATATTCGTGTCCCTCTTATTATAAGCTTTATTTTGACCTATAGACTATTATTATACGATTTACTATTTTTGTGTTATCCCTTGTCCATTAATTACTGTTCCTCCTATTCACAGCGACATTTGGTCAAATCTTGTACAAATATTATTTTTTATTTTATGTTACGATGTGGTCAGTTTGTTTGGTATATAAACCCAGTATGTTTGTGAATAATGATTCATATTGCAGAGGCTATTATTGGTGTTCTGGACTTAACCGGCTGGGCTAGGCAGAAAGAAGAACCGATAAGTGCTCAAGACTGCTCATACAGTTTTTGTGTATCATTGCTGTGATCGATAAATCATTCCTCTCTAATTGGTGGTCTTATAACATCATATATATTAACAGGCCACGCACTCATTCGATATAACAAAAACAATAAACCTTCATAAGTAAAAACAAAAAAAACAACTAAATAAATATTAACAGTAGAGAATAATGAAATCTTGATTATTTCTTAATTTCAATTTAATCATATTTATAGTTGAGATGATGAATCAATTAAAGCTGAACCACTATGGAAAACCTGAAAACACTGGACAGCCGTTTCATCCTGTTATGGGACTCCTCAGCAGTGGGCACCCATGATCCCAACTCAAGAGATTCGAACCCAGGATCTATCAGTCTCATAATATAATTATGGTTGTTAAC